CAACGATTTGTATCACTCCGGCGTGATCAGCGGTCTAGCCATCGGCTACGCTTGTTTGAGCAAAATGGCACCCAAACTTGATTTCAACCCGCAAGACATGGGCATGATCGTGTTCGAGATGCTCGTTAAGCAAGGCATCATTCCGGAAAACATATTGAAGTAAGAAAAGTATATATAAATACACGATCACGATGATGATCGGCGTGGCATTAGTGAATGCCCTGGCCTTTTTGGGGAGCAATTATCTCTTATCCAAATTATGAACATCCAATGCCGCCAAGATCGAAGCGGAACGGAAACGACACGATTTGGTTGTGGAACAACTGCAAGCTGGGCAAGCCGAGTACACGAAAAGACACATGCAGAGAATCGATTTCATCAACGCCCAACTCCAACGCAAAAACCACGTCCTTCAAACGTTCAAGGACGTCGACGACGCTATGCAACAATACTACCTGATCACCGGGAAACGATTGGAACCACTTGGTGACGAATCCACCCTATCTCAGTATTACACCCCTTCCCCGGATCCAAAAGACCGAGAGCTGATTTTTGTGGCCTTAAGATTAGCCGCCACCTTATGGATCGCCAAACAATTAAACTAAAATGTATCGAAGTGCGTATATCGAAGATAAGACACGCTCCGTATCATTGTCAATACATGCTTCTGGGAAAATCCGAGACTTGCGGCAAGAAATGCAGGACCGAAGAGTACTGCAGCATACACATGATGTCCATCCGAAAGGGTTTCGTGAATGCTCGGTATGTGGTATTGGAGTGAAATGCCATTATGGTTTATGTTAAGTCCACGGAGCAGACGTAGTTCGAAAATAACTTATTTACGACAAAACGAAAGATTATCTCAACAAACGTAACCGACTACTCAGAAAAAAACATTAAAAAAAAACATTTTATGAGCGCTTCAGTTCAAAAGAGAAGGCTGATGGAGTTATCTCCCTTTGAAAACAACCAATTAGACATTTTGCTTTTCATGTGGATATAGCAATCATGACTACCGTCAGTGAACTCAGAGCTCTCGCTGAAAGTCGTGGATTGGTGGGTTATTCTCACATGAGGAAACCCCAACTGCTCACCTTGCTCGACATGAAACATGTCAACCCCCCAATTTTACGGGAGCTCAAACTCCGAGCTAAAGAACGTGGATTGAAGGGTTATTCTCGTATGAACTGTACTTGAAAACAGACATGCTGCTGCTTGCCGACGTGTTCGAGACAGTCAGAACGACATGTTTGAAACAGTATCAACTTGACCCTGCCTGGTACTACACCAGACCCAGTCTCTCGTGGGATGCGCTCTTGAATTACCCAGCGTCAAACTGGAATTGCTCACGGATTACGACATGCATCTGTTCATCGAGAAAGGCATGCGTGTTGGGATTTCCATGGCCTCCAAACGGTACGCGAAAGCCATCAACAAATACATGGAAGGCTACGACTTGAGCAGCCCACCAATCACCTGCTCTTTCTCGACGCCAACAACCCTGTACGGCTGGTCCATGAGCCAGTTGCTACCTATGGGAGGGTTCGAGTGTTTGGACGATGAGATCGATATCATGAGCATCGCGCCAGATTCGAAAAAAGGCTACATCCTCGAAGTGGATTTGGAGTATCCCGCAGCATTGCACGCTGCTCACAACAGCTATCCGCTGGCTCCTGAACGGTTGACGGTGAACCGAGACTGGATGTCGACTAACAACACACGTTGCTCAGAAATATAAGCTGGCCAAAGTGGACAAACTCGTTCCGAACTTGATGCACAAGACCATGTACGTGGTGCACTGTCGGAATCTGCAGCTGTACTTGTCACTGGGCATGAAGCTGACTAAAATACATCGGGTGCTCAAATTTGATCAAAGAGTCTGGATGGAACCTCGCTGAGAAATAAGGCCACCAGCGACTTTGAGAAAAACCTCTACAAACTGATGAACAATTCAGTGTTCGGTAAAACCATGGAAAACTTGAGGAAACGCGTCAACGTAAAACTCGTGCAGTCTCACGAGGAACAAAAACTCAGGAAACTCACAGCCAGCCTGGGCTTCAATCTAAGCAAGCTATTCGATAATGACTTGGTAGCGCTACACATGAACAAAAGCCAGATCAAGCTCTTCCGACCCATCTACGTGGGGATGAGCATTCTCGACTTGTCCAAACATCTCATGTACGATTTATATACGAGTTAAAAAATCAATATGGTGATCGACGTTTAGTGATGAACACGGACACGGATTCACTGCTCATCGAAATTCGTACTGAGGACGTAAACGAGGACATGGCGAAACACAGCCACTTGTACAATACCAGCGATTATCCCCCCACAAATGCCCTACACAGCACGACCAATAAAAAGGACCTCGGCAAGATGAAGGACGAATGCACAGGGACACCAATCGTCGAATACGTCGGATTGAGACCCAAGATGTATTCCATCCTGAAAGCCGACAACGGCGAGATCCGAAAGGCGAAAAGGGTGAAGAAATACGTGCTGAACAACTCATCAAACACACCCTCTTCAAACAGGCTCTCTTCGATAAACGCACGTTCAAACTCCCCATGAACGCATTGAGAAGCGACAAACATAATATCTACGGCATCACCCTCAACAAGACCTCGCTGTTGCCCATGGATACAAAACAATGGATTGTGAATGATGGCATCCACACTTATAGCTATGGATACCAACAGTAGACCTCCATGCGTTGGGTGTATCCGGGACCCCCAATAAAGGAAACTCCACTCTATGCGTCGAGACAAGTGAATGAACGATAGCGTGTATACATCATGGAGAAGGTTTACTACAGACCCACTACATAAAGTCGTCACTGAATATTATGGCTACATTTAAATCCAATCCAAACCCCCGTTGTTAAGCTCGGCCGCCATCTTTGTTTGGCTTAGAAACCACAGTCCTGATCCGAGACCTTGAACCCTGACCGCTCATAGCATGAGCGGTCAAACCTCGACACCAACCCAGCGCTGGCGTGACATTTCGTGAACCCTGACCGCTCATAGCATGAGCCGTCACTTTGGTGCAAACCTCTGCACCAGCCCCCGTCGCTCACTTGACTCGCTAAAGTTTATGCCGATACCCCGTCTCAAACCTGCGTCGCTGGCTTACGAGGCCAACACTCTAACCATCACACTGGCGAGCCGGCTGATACCTCAGTGTCCGGAACTTTGGGTCTTGGCTGGCAGCACATCGAAGGATGGCTCTTGATAGACCATCGCCGTTTTTAATTCCCTCAAATAAGCCTCTCAGCCGCATCTGATGCAGAACCCCTACTCTAGTACTACTCATAGCTACATACATACGTAGGTAGGTAGGTAGGTAGGTAGGTTCTTCAAAAAAGGAAACTATACATGCTGTTTTGGTGTTTGCTTACTGAGTGCATATAACTGATTCAAACATGACATCATTGCTCAATTACAGTAAAATAATATACAAATTTCCAAAACATGATTATCCACTTGATTAAAGCCACTTGGTCAGAGTAAAATGTCAGATTAACAGCTTGGCAGTGGTGACCCATAGAAGAAAGGAGATGCCGAATGCTGTCTTGAGGAATGTTTTGATACTTTTGCTGAAGTGCTGTGTGTAGTTCTTGTAGTGTCTGAGGTGGCGGATTACGCTGGCACAAGCATCGATCAAGAGTATCCCATAGATAAGGCCAAGGTGACACCTGCACATTGTTTTGCTGGAGGAAGTCCTGTCAAACATGTGCAACGTGAGGTGGAGCATTGACATGCTCCAAAGATCAACCGTTGACGTTGATGAAGGGAACGACGTGACGTTGAACGGGTCTTCTGGCAATAAGTCTGGCTTTCCATAGCCAATTCTCACTGTCTGGTCGGAGATTCGGCACAGTCTAGGGATTTGGATTGTTGTGGATGATGTGGCTGTGGTGTTTGACTGAAGATGTCTCATCCAGATGTAGCAATCCTGGGCGGCGGTGGTAACTAGGTCGACCTGACCTGGGTCTGTCATTAACACTCCCAGTATCGTTGCATTGGGTCCATAGGTTTGAGATGGTCTGTCTGGACACGCTGAAGTGCCTTGCCACCTCATGCTGCGATGCCCGTCCTTGTAAACAGCAGATGGCATTGTGTCGTTGAGCTTCTGCCAGTCTTTTTGAAGCCTACAGTCATTGGCCTCAGCTCAGGGTGATACACAATTTAATGATGCACGTCCATTTCATGTAGGGTGCGTTTTAACGATTCACTACAGACGTGAGCGTAACGTTACGTTTTGCTTTAACGTTTCTTTTTTCAAATGTTTAATTGTCGGCAACCATTCCCCTATGTGTTGGGATTCATCATGGATTGGTTTGTGTCAAACATTTTCCTAAAATTCAATTTTTTCCTATGTATAGTTTCTTTTGTATAGTGTGTGTGTGTGTGTGTGTGTGTGTGTGTGTGTGTGTGAGTGTGTGTGTGTGTGTGTGGAGTGAGTGGAGAGAGAGAGAGTGAGAGAGAGAGAGAGAGAGAGTTCTGTGTTTAGTAAATAATTGGCAGTGAACAAATGTTCAGAATTTATGTTTGAATGGCACTATGTTTGAATGACAATGTCATTTACTATCTTAATCTTGAACATACCTTTAGAATTATTATTTCAAAAAAGGAAGGAGAGAGAGGGATGACCGAGGGGGGCGGAGGGAGAGAATGAGGGAGACAGAGGGAGTGATAGATCATTATGGAGAGAAAAAAGGCAGAGGAGAGAAAGGGGAGAGGGTAAGATGGGGAATGGTGGAGAGATTGGGAGTGAGAGAAAGTGTGAGGGAGGGACAGATAAGAAGTGAGGTAGGGAGATGCCTACTTCAGACGGAGAGAAAGAAGGAAGAGAGGAAAGGGAACTGTAAGATGGGAAAGGTGGGGATTGAGAGAAAGAGGGAGGGCTAGAGGATAGAAAGTGAGGTAGGTAGATGCTTACTTCAATCATACGTAAACCACAAAATGTACGACGTTGTACACGTGTAGGCGTTTCAGTTGTAGGATGATGGTGGAGAGTTCACAGTGAAGACACTCATGATAAGTGAAAAGGGAAGGATGTGTAAAGTTTTGAATCTGAACATTATACTTCGGAGCTGAATATAGGCAGGATGGAAGAAGGACAGACGGATGATAGTGACACAGAGAGTGGGTGGTATACACCACCTGAGTACAGAACAGACAGTGATGGAGGCACGTCATCAGGCATGGAGGGTGCTGAAAATATGGCTGTTTATGAAGAGAGTGCTGACGAATTTAGTGATGGCACAGACGAGGATGAAGGGGATGGGATACGAGACATGTCACAACTTGGAGCAGGTGTTGTAGCGGTCAAAGTCGAGACTGTTCATCAACAGTCATACCAACTTGTAGATAAAGGTACGTGTGTTTTATAGAAATAATGATAATAAGAGAGGCTTTCTTGATACATCACTAGTCACGCCTAAATGGAAGGTATAGTGATGTATGGCAGATAGTATTTACCAGTCTATTATAATCATCAAGCACTCACAACATCTTATTATGTTGGCGACGAATAGTGTAAAACTAGGAGAAGTGTTGTGCACCAATGCTGTTTTACGCACTTTATTAGCGTACTGACAGCTATTCCTATGGTATTGTATATATCTTGCCATGTCATTGTAGCAGTGTGAGAGGTACTATTTTCAACTGCCATTAGCTGTGAGATTTATCATTTGAGTTTGAGACCAGTTAGGTTTGAATTGTAGATGGCTTCACCAATGTTAACAGTTAGATTGTATTAACAATCCATTATTATGCATGTGATAAAGATAAGTGTACTATGTTAGCAGTTAATTGTGTCAAACCTCAACGGCTGAGTATTGTCAACCAATGTTCCTTTACTCTCTATAAGCCTAATCGCACTTTTTCCTATGGCATTGTAGGTGTCTTGCTATCTTATTGTAACTTTGTGAGAGGTATTATGTTCAACTTATATCAACTGGAACCGTCTGCACTAGCATGTAATAAACACACCATGCATGTATTTAAGTTATATCTTACAATTCATGATAAAGTCAGGGACAGACTCTACTGTGGTGAGTGGTGGTGAAATAGAGATTGTCCGACTGAACGTTACACACTGATTCCTGTGCTGTGTTTATAGACAAACTTAAACTACATTGTGTGTGTGGTGTATCATTTTAACAATGGTAGTATTCATATGACTTTTTGTTTGTGTCCTTTGAGATCCAACTCTGACCTGTTTGTTCCCTTCATAGATACAAAGTCACTAGCACAACACATTGTGGGATGTTGTCCGCAACAGCGGGGAGAAGTATCAGCAGCACCACAGCAACAACAGCAACTCCAACCAGTTTCAGATGGTGATGGTGATGAAAGAACGGATCAGGCACACCTGTCCACAAGTACAACCTGTGTACTTCCTGTAACAACAAGTCCGCAGGTTCCGGGAACAGCAGCCTTGACACCAGAGTCCTCAAGTACATTTTGTGTAGTTCCTGAAACAACAAGTCCGCAGGTAACAGGAACACCAGCTCTAACACCAGCATCCACAATTACAACCTGTGTAGTTCCGAAAACAACAAGTCCGCAGGTCCCAGAAATAACAGCTTTGACACCAGAGTCCTCAAGTACATCTTGTGTAGTTCCTGAAATAACAAGTCCGCAGGTCCCGGAAATAACAGCCTTGACACCAGCATCGTCAAGTACATCTTGTGTAGTTCCTGAAACAACAAGTCCGCAGGTCCTGGAAATAACAGCCTTGACACCTGCATCATCAAGTACATCTTGTGTAGTTCCTGAAACAACAAGTCCGCAGGTTCCGGGAACATCAGCCCTGACACCAGCGCCCACATCGTCTCTTCTGCCTCCAGTACCAGGATCTCTTGTATCACAGATACAGTCATCTGGGCTGCCTCCAGTACCAGTGAGTGGGAATTCTCCTGCAGGTGGGTGGTTTTACTCGATATTGTTGACCTCTTTAAGATCAGCTATCATGTCATTCTTAATTATATTAAGGCGTGTGGCAGCTTTACTACTTTATAAAACCTTAGAAACTTAGCAAACCTTTATGACGGGCAAGGTGTAAATGGACCCAGTTGCCCAAACACCTATTAAACTTTTAATTATCCATCTGTCTCTGAGCTACCATCTTATCTCATCAACCATTAGAACCCTACTTCTCAGCAGAACAACCCTTGAAGATTCGGGTTAGAATTGATCTTCAGTAACCCATGCTTGTTTAAAGAGGCGACTAACAGGATCGGTGGTCAGGCTCGCTGGTTTGGTTGACACATGTTATTGTTTCCCAATGTGAAGGTCGATGCTCATGATGTTGATCAGTAGATTGTCTGGTCCAGACACGATTATTTACAGACAGCCGCGATATAACTGGAATATTGCTGAGTGCGCGTTAAACAACAACCAACCAATGTTGTTCATTTCAGTCTCCAATGTCAAAACCTAAACAACAAACCACCAACTCAGCAGATAAGATCATATCATTTACATTTACCAATACCTCATGTTTTGTCAATTCCCAATATCTCCTACTTTTTCAGTCATAATATACCTTCAGCTGTGAAGCTATGGTATCTATGTCACAGTGTTTGGCAGGGTGCCTTTGACCTCAACACAAGTCTTTATCAAGCTCTGTTCAATTTATGAACTGACTTCATTTGGCAGCCGCATTTTAGAAAAAATGCTGATGACATGTTTTCAGAATCACTAGAAATATTGAACACATCTATGAAACCTTCAGTCATATGGCTTTTATTACAGTAACACTATGAAGCTTTATCAAAGAGAGCAACATTTTGGAGATGTGACCGTGGCAGTGTGTTTGACCTCAGAATAAACTTTTTTATCAGCTCATTTCAGTTTTATCTATGCCATTTATATTTGGCAATCACCTTTCAGAAAACTATCATAACTAATACGAAGTGTTTTTGTCTGCTGGTGTTATCACCTGTTTTCAGAATCACTAGCAGAATCTAAGTTGAAATATGGATCACATCTATGTAAGCTTCAGTCATGTGGTTTCTGTTACAGTCACACAGTACAACCTTATCCAAGTACAGCAGCAGTTTGGTGATGTGACAGTGAAGGGGGGCAAGAATCTGAACATTGGCGGAACTCAGAATGTCGGTACAGCTCAACCCAAACAGGAAGAAGAGGAGATACCACTGACTGCAGCACAGAAGATCAGGAGTGAGTTATTTGATAATGTTTTCCCAATGATTGTCCATGTGGTGGTAATGTACGATTAAACCAGACTGATATAGTCTATGTACTAAACCATCAGGTTGCTCACCTTGCACGGACCACAGACACGGAGGCCACAGATGCTCCTGCTGGGCTCCAAACTGTCGGATGTGCACGGTTCAACTTCATCAGTCTTGACGTGGGGTTGATACTGGGGGCGGCTTCAACAGGGGCAGTCTATAACTTGATTGTTTTGCTGAAAACTTCATTGAATCGACGAGGAACGTCACGCTGCTCTATCTTTATCTCTCTATCTGTCACTTTCCCCGAGGCGTGCCTTTGTTATGCTTCAGTTTAGTGAGATATTCTCATTTTGATGGGTGATCCAACTGATTATTGGTCACGTCTTGTTACTGGCATTACCTTGCACATGACACCAGACTTTTGTTTATTCTTTACGCAATTTTGTCTTCTGCTATTTCAGCAGATGCCCACAATTTGTGGTATCTATTTAAGAACCTTAACAAAATTTGAGTAACTTTTATATGGGCCGGTAGGGTACCCCGGTAGCCTATTGGTAAAGGTGTTTGTTTGTCCAGCCGAAGACCCGGGTTTGATTCCCGATATGGGAACAATATGTGAAGCCCATTTCTAGAGTAAAATGTTCAAATCTTAAGTTTGTTCACTTATATATAAATGTGTTAAATGTGCCTTGTTTCCACAGAAAGGACGACATCCAGGATACAGTCGTGGACTAAAGACATGGTGGAGACAGATGCCCTCAAGAAAGTGAAAGAGAAGCTACACAGAGGTGCAACATGGGTGACAATTACAGGAAGACCGGGAGAGGGGAAGTCCACAACCGCCTACATGGCTCTCAAAGACCTACACAGTCAGGGGAGACAAGTATACCAAGTGGTGTCACCAGAAGAGTTCAATGAGGTCATAATGGCCTGCTCTAACCCTGTCATTCTGTTAGATGACATATTTGGTGATCTAGAATTCGACGCTGCAGAATGGACCAAATGGAGACCAAGTCTCCGACCTATTTTGGATGTGAAACATCCTGACAAATATGCTGAAAAAGATTCTTTGGACATTTCGACCAAAACTGAAAAGGTTTCAGAGAGGACAAAAGTTGATCAAACACAGGTGAAACAAACAAGTCCAAACAAAGACAAAACTATCATTATTCTCGTAGGCCGGGACTATGTGCTGAAATCCTCATTGGCAGACTTGGGAAGGATGGCAGATTACATTTCCAGTCCCCAATACGTGGTGGAAGTTTCCTCACAGAGAGACTCTTATGAGCGGAGGAAGATATGGCGTGTTCATGCTGAAACAAAAAACATAAACTTTAAAGAGTCAGTTGTGTCACAGATATGTAAGGTAGACTGTCCACATGGCTTCCCCCATGTATGTAAAATGTTTGTCGCAGCATATGAAAAGGATTGGACTCAATTTCGCCCAGAGGCTTTTTTTCAAGCGCCTATTGCTTTCCTCAACAAAACTTTGATTAAACTTATGAAAGATGAGGAAAAGCATTCACTGTTCATGGCAATGATTAAAAAAGATGGGGAGATTAGTGGACAAGAAATGGAGGCGGATGATAACCTCGGTTATAAACACAAAGACGTTGCTGACGATTTGGTTGGATCTTACCTCAAGAAGGAGGATGACACCTACATGTTTGATCATCCGTCTATTTATGACAGTGTTTCCTTTATTCTCAGTACAAAACAATTGAAGTTTGTTATTGAAAATTGTAGTTTGTCCTTTATAAATCAGCGACTTCGTCTTGCACCCCCCAGAGGGAGAGAGGAAAACGTTGCTGGTGAGGCAGGTCTTGTTGCAAGCATCCCATGGACATATGCTGGACATTTAGCCAGAAGATTTGCAAGTGAAATACACAGGAGGAATTTGTTGCATGTTTTATCCCACCATGCATGTTGTAATTCAGACTTTGTTCACTTGCTAATGGACTGCCTGAAGACACAGTTTCACATGTGTGCATCTGACATTGTGAAACTAACTGATAAGTCATCCAACCAGTCATTTTGTGAATTACTTCCCAGCAACAAATCACATCATCTCATGAAATATATTATGGAGAAAGAAAATATATCATTCAGCCAGGATGAAGGGAGGGACATTTTGCTGGGTGTGTGCACGAATGCTGCGTGCAGTGTACTGAAATACATCAGTGGAGATATGGAACTTCATTTAAATGTTAGATACGGTTGGAAGAAAAAGACGCCGATTATGTTAGCAGCAGAAACCAGAGACAGCGTGTTTGTTAATCAGATTTTGTCTCTTGACCCTGACCTATATGCAAGAGACAAGTTCGGTGAAAGCGTGTTTTATTATCTTTGTGAAAATGGCCTTACATTAGCCGTAGAGCATGTGCTTGACAAGGGAGTGGACGTTAATGAGGATCAAGGATCACGCCGGGAACACCCTCTATACATTGCCATAGAAAAAGGTCACGTAGAGGTGGTTAAACTGTTGGTTAACAGAGGATGTGATGTAGATAACCAGAAAGGTCTTAGATGTGCTGTTGTAAGCCTGAACGTGGACATGGTGCTGTTCTTTTTAAACAGAAGAGTAGAGGTTGACAGTACTGTTGTGTGCAGATCTTGTAAAGCTGGGGAGTTGAACATAGTCGAGCTGCTGTTTGAGAAGGGTGCTACTGTTAATATGGTGTCATATGATGGAGATACTCCACTTCACAGCGCATGTGGAGGAAATCCTACTGTTGTTGCATATTTACTGAAGAAAGGAGCAAGTGTCAATCAAGCTTCATATGTTACAGGTGACACACCACTTCATGAAGCAGCAGGGTACCGATCTACAGAGAGTGTAGAGGTGTTACTTAAGGCTGGGGCTGATGTTAATGTACAGAATAGTACAGATGACACACCACTTCATAGAGCAGCAGCAGGGTGGGAATCTGCAGAGTGTGTTGACGTGTTACTGAAGGCTGGAGCTGACGTTAATGTACAGAATAATAAATGTGACACACCACTTCATATAGCAGCAGGACAGGAATCTGCAGAGTGTGTTGATGTATTACTTAAGGCTGGAGCTGATGTTGATGTACAGGATAATACAGGTGACACACCACTTCATAGAGCAGCAGCAAAGAGGGGATCTACAGAGAGTGTTGTTGTGTTACTGACGGCTGGAGCTGATGTTAATGTACAGAATGATACAGGTCACACACCACTTCATATAGCAGCAGCAGCAGGACAGGAATCTACAGAGTGTGTTGATGTATTACTGAAGGCTGGGGCTGATGTCCATGTACAGAATAATACAGGTGACACACCACTTCATATAGTAGCCGGAAGGAGATCTACAAAGTGTGTTGATGTGTTACTGAAGGCTGGAGCTGATGTCCATGTACAGAATAATACAGGTGACACACCACTTCATAGAGCAGCAGGATGGGGATCTACAGAGTGTGTTGATGTGTTACTGAAGGCTGGAGCTGATGTTAATGTACAGAATAATACAGGTGACACACCACTTCATAGAGCAGCAGGAGGGGGATCTACAGAGTGTGTTGATGTGTTACTGAAGGCTGGAGCTGATGTTAATGTACAGAATAATACAGGTGACACACCACTTCATATAGCAGCAAGAGGGGATCTACAGAGTGTGTTGATGTGTTACTGAAGGCTGGAGCTGATGTTAATGTACAGAATAATACAGGTGACACACCACTTCATATAGCAGCAAGGAGGGGATCTACAGAGTGTGTTGATGTGTTACTGAAGGCTGGAGCTGATGTTAATGTACAGAATAATACAGGTGACACACCACTTCATAGAGCAGCAGGACGGGGATCTACAGAGTGTGTTGATGTGTTACTGAAGGCTGGAGCTGATGTTAATGTACAGAATAATACAGGTGACACACCACTTCATATAGCAGCAGGACGGGGATCTACAGAGTGTGTTGATGTGTTACTGAAGGCTGGAGCTGATGTTAATGTACAGAATAATACAGGTGACACACCACTTCATAGAGCAGCAGGACGGGGATCTACAGAGAGTGTTGATGTGTTACTGAAGGCTGGAGCTGATGTTAATGTACAGAATAATACAGGTGACACACCACTTCATATAGCAGCAGGACAGGAATCTACAGAGTGTGTTGATGTGTTACTGAAGGCTGGAGCTGATGTTCATGTACAGAATAATACAGGTGACACACCACTTCATAGCAGCAGCAGGACGGGGATCTACAGAGTGTGTTGATGTGTTACTGAAGGCTGGGGCTGATGTTAATGTACAGAATAATACAGGTGACACACCACTTCATAGAGCAGCAGGACGGGGATCTACAGAGTGTGTTGATGTGTTACTGAAGGCTGGGGCTGATGTCCATGTACAGAATAATACAGGTGACACACCACTTCATATAGCAGCAGGACGGGGATCTACAGAGTGTGTTGATGTGTTACTGAAGGCTGGAGCTGATGTTAATGTACAGAATAATACAGGTGACACACCACTTCATATAGCAGCAAGGTGGGGATCTACAGAGTGTGTTGATGTGTTACTGAAGGCTGGAGCTGATGTTAATGTACAGAATAATACAGGTGACACACCACTTCATAGAGCAGCAGGACGGGGATCTACAAAGTGTGTTGATGTGTTACTGAAGGCTGGAGCTGATGTCCATGTACAGAATAATACAGGTGACACACCACTTCATATAGCAGCAGGACAGGGATCTACAGAGTGTGTTGATGTGTTACTGAAGGCTGGGGCTGATGTTAATGTACAGAATAATACAGGTGACACACCACTTCATATAGCAGCAGCAAGGACGGGGATCTACAGAGTGTGTTGATGTGTTACTGAGGGCTGGGGCTGATGTCCTGGTACAGAATAATACGGGTGACACACCACTTCATAGAGCAGCAGCAGCAGGACGGGGATCTACAGAGTGTGTTGATGTGTTACTGAAGGCTGGAGCTGATGTTAATGTACAGAATAATACAGGTGACACACCACTTCATATAGCAGCAGGACGGGGATCTACAGAGTGTGTTGATGTGTTACTGAAGGCTGGAGCTGATGTCCATGTACAGAATAATACAGGTGACACACCACTTCATATAGCAGCAGGACGGGGATCTACAAAGTGTGTTGATGTGTTACTGAAGGCTGGAGCTGATGTCCAGGTACAGAATAATACAGGTGACACACCACTTCATAGAGCAGCAGCAGCAGTGTGGGGATCTACAAAGTGTGTTGATGTGTTACTGAAGGCTGGAGCTGATGTTAATGTACAGAATAATGCAGGTGACACACCACTTCATATAACAGCAGGACGGGTATCTACAGAATGTGTTGATGTGTTACTAAAGGCTGGAGCTGATGTTAATGTACAGAATAATACAGGACAGAAACCACTGCCCTAGTCTTATCAATGTAGATTCAATAGACATTTGTGGATTTCATTGATCAGTGCAGGAAAAGTGACAAGATATATGTCACTTTGATGCTGTTTATGTGACGACTTGAACAATAGAGCGAAGGCAAGAACATGATAGCTTCTGTGTTCTTTAGGGTCGAAAGTGGAAACTGACAGTACTGTCGGAACTAGTAATTTTTTATGTTTTTTTCACATTTCTATCTACATTTTATGTAGTTGATATGTGAAGGTGTGACATATAAACTAAGTTCGGCCTAACTACAGCCTCAGTTGTAGGGAGATAGAAAACGTATAAAAAGGACTTTACTGAGCAGAGATTAGTGCAAAAATGAGCAAAGTGGTGTTTTTTGTAAGTCCAAAGCGACTTATTTGGAACAGACCATGGCTTTGTGGAAATTAGTGTAATAATTCCAGATATTGTATTACAAAGGACACTTTTTAAATGCCCATTTTGAAATTAGACTTAGCCTCATTATAACGATTGCTGCCGTAAAAAATAATAACTTAAATACTGAAACTATGAAGGATGTAGCTACCTTGGAGCCTCACTATCACTATAAAACCAGATTGGTGGGGTCGTCTCCAAAACAAAACCAGGATGGGTGTCGCGGACAGTGGTTGGGCTCAACCTGGAGGATAGAGATATCAGCTAAGAAAAGATAATCCTTTAGGGGAATTAAACTGGGGAAGTAAACGGCATGTCATAACAATTTACAAATATTATCCTGTCCTGTTGATCTTCGGGTGGTCATGCCACCTATATATTTTGAGACATTGAATACGATGACTGATTTAAGCTTTTCTATGGGTATCATACTCTTTTACATATTTCAGCATAAACATTATGATAGAAAGACACGTAATATGTTAATCAACAGATGAGACATATTCAACACACATGAACAAGCATGAAATAACTTTGAGATGACCCATTGTGCCTGCAAGCACCACATGTATTTCATGTCAGGTGAGTTAACCGTCCGACGTCATACCAGGCTGAGCGACCTAACTGCCATCTATAGTGTGATCTATTGTTTTGCCGTTTTTACAGATAAACATGTTTTTATGGATATCCTTTTGCGCATCCCACTGAACGCTAGTTAGGCTGATGTGTGTTTTTTTTCGACATATGCTATTTGCAATCGTGAAAATTATAGGGATACAGAGTAACAGCATAAACAGGTTTTTTTTCCTATTTCCGACAGTACTTTAATACAGGTTTTGTATGGCCAAAGAACCCACACTGAAATTCTTCAGTGGAAGCGTCCACCATGAAAAATAGCACAAAGCTCTCTGTAGTTTTTTCGTGAGGACAGTCTTTAACTCCACCATTGTGAAACTGCATTACCCATAAATTCATGTACAGAGAATATTATCGGAGCATGTGAGTCATACTGATTTTACAAGACATGTGTCAGTGTTTCCTGAGCAAGCACAATTACAATATTTCCCTTGTTGCTGAGTATTTCCTAGTCCTTTTTTGTGATTCCTTTTGGATAAGTGTTCTGATCATGACCGAACACATCAAATGTCGATGTATATATCAACAATTTGTGCTATGACATTATTCCAATCTTACACTTTCTAAAGAATTCGATCTGCATGAACAATGCCATGGGGATGAGGCAAATAATACCTTAACATGGACTTAGAGCTAAGCTTGTTTTGTACAACATGGTCTTTAATGATCTTTGGTATTTCTGACTCTGTGAGGGGTAAATGCTTGTACGACCTAATTTTGTCTGCAAGATTGCACGTTCAGTGACTAGACTGACATAATCACATACTATTTCCTTTGCTGATTAATTATCAAGTTGAATTCAACAATTGAAAAACTGCAATATTTCCTAATGAATGTGAGGGGTGGTATTGTCACACAAATTGTAATATCTGGAACTCAAATATATTCAATCTGTTATTGGCCAGAGGTCCATTGTTACATGTGATTAGTTGCAGACAATCACAATCCCGTGCTATTTTGACTTAACGTCCGGCATTACAAATGTATGTGTGTGTGTGTGTGTGTGTGTGTGTGTGTGTGTGTGTGTGTGTGTGTGTGTGTGTGTGTGTGTGTGTTTGTGTGTACGTAGTGTGTGCTTGGTGTATATATATATATATATATATATATGTTTGTATTTATACATTCTGGATCAATGTTATATTACAAATATTGACTTTGAACGAGCGACCGTGAATAATTCGTTTTACATGCAGAAGGAATGTTCTGGTATGTGACTGTTTTATTGTGTTTGGTCAATTGAAATTGTGCATACATGCACATAAGGCTGCATCCGTGATATAATACCATGAAATAATTCTATTGAACATTTCACAGGTTTTGTTACTTGATATAAAATCTGAATGCAGCAGTATGAGTTCTATATTTGCGAGGTCTTAGTTCACTGTCGCTTTATCCTACGTTTGAATGACACAGCTATCTTAAGTGTGTTTATTGAAGGAACAGAGAGTGGAGACAGTTCTTGACTGAAAAATTGCTAATGGTATTGAACTATCTTTGTAATTAATATTTGAATGGAATACACAATGAGCAAATGACATATTGCAAGACAATGTCCTAAAAAATATGTTGAATATATGCTTATCAAAGAGAGGCCCAGTTGAGTGTTCTGCGACTTTGCCAAATGACGTGTCTATCTGTCACGATATGTCAGTATAAAATTAAGTAATGTCCTCTGGAAGCAAGCCGTGGAGAAGAATGACCAGTTAACTGGTATTGCAAGACTTGTTTTCTGTGGATTGGCTCACATTAGTTCTAGAGAGTGCTATTGTAAAACGTTTGTCAATGATGTTGAAAATGAACTCTTCCACACCATATGTGATATTCTGAAAATAAATATCTTTTGTTAAGTTCTAGGGAAAGATGATGATGCTATTCTTGTGTTTTTACTTGATGGATGGTTAAAAGAATGTGTGATGGAACTAGAAAGAGATGTTTGGAGCAGAAGTAATAATCAATGTAAGCAACTTATAAGGTTGGTTGGTTGGTTTGTTGTTTAACGCCGCACTTAGCAATATTTCAGCTATAGCTGTTGCTATATTCCAGCAATATTCCAGCTATAGCTGTTGCTATATTCCAGCAATATTCCAGCTATGGCTGTTGATATATTCCAGTAATATTCCAACTA